ACCAAAGACCCTACAAATATGAAAAGGATAAAGAGGAAACATTATAATACCTTTATGCCCAGAAATTAAGTAATTCAGATAAAAATGCACAAATGCCTTGACTGACACAAACTATCAAAGTTGTCTCAAGAAGAAATAGATAACCTGATTAGGTTAATCTATTCTCTATCTACTAAATTTTTATTACCTGTATCTATTAAAGAAATGCTCTTATAGTGGAAAACCTTCCCCCAGAGAAAACCCCAGGCCCAGATGTCCTCACTGGTGAATTCAGCCAAACACCTGAGGAAGAAATAATACCCATTCTCCTGAAACTCTCCCAGAAAATTGAAAAAGAGTATTTCCCAACTTAACACTCATAGAAGTTTTGTATTACAGAGAAGACCAATATTACTTTGATACTAAAACCAAGATATAAAGAAAAGGAAAGAAGAAAGAAAGGAAAGGAGGCAGGAAGGAAGAGAACTACAGATCAGTATTTCTCATGTAAAACATTCGGAGACCAAACTCATGGGCTGAAAAACTCAAACAAAATTGTAGCAAATATAATCCGAAAGCAAATGAATGGGATGGTCCATCAGGACCAGGTAGATAGAGCTTGTCCCTGAATATTAGTTATGTTTTGGATACATGTGGCAACATAGATGAATCTCAAAATCATGATACTGAGTGAAAGAAAGCAGACATAGGAAGGGTTCACACTGCGTGATTCCATTGGTATAAAATTCCAGGAAATCTATGTAATGTGTAGTAACAGAAAGCAGATCAGACTATGCTGTTCACCAGAATTTGACACATTGCAACCGACTAAACTTCAATTAAAAAAGTAAATATAAACAAATAAATAAAACCACAAAGGTTAAGTAACAAAGATTTTAAAAAAAGAAAGAAAGCAGATCAGTGGTTGCCTGGGGGAGGGGCACCAGGGAAATGTGAGGGAGGATTCCTCACAGACACAGGAAACTTTGGGGGTGCCGGGTCTGCCTGTTCCCCTGTTCCCTGGATTATGGTGATGGCTTCACGGTTGTGTGTCTGTGTCGAAACATATCGAACTGTACACTTTAATTACATGCAGTTTATGGTATGTCACTGGATTAAACCTCAATACAGCTGTTGCAAAAATAAAATGAAGCCTCCCACACATGAGGAGGTGCCCTTCCCTCGTCCTGCTCCCCTGACTATGTGCTCTTGAATGTTGATGCCTTGGACAGGTTGATGTTGAGACACCCACCCGTCCATGCCCTGAGGATGCCCGCCCTCTGAAAAGTTCAGCGTTCCCTGGGGGATGGGCTTGGGGCGGGGGAGCCCTTGGGACCCAGCTGCAATTTGGTTTAAAAAGCCAGGGTCACTTGTTAGTAAGAGGCCCCGAGTGGAAGGCTGCCCTCCCCTCCTTGCTCCCTGTGCCTTCTCCTGGTGCTTTGCACTTCCTCCCAGACGGTGCTTTTTGGGTAGGAGGAGCCAGAGGAGGACAATGCTCAACAATAAAAGAAAGAGCTGCTTTCACGGAGGCATTTCAAGCACGATCCATGGACCAGGGGCGTGGATGGGGAGGGCATGGGAGGAAGATGGGCTTCCCCCGGTGCCCGTGGTGCCCAGCGGGTACCAGACAGCCTCGGCCAGGCCAGATGGAGCCTGCTTCTACTTTCAGAAGGAAGAGAAGGCCACCTGTCAACAGCAGAACCATCACGTTGTCCCTACCTTCCTCACGTACATGCTTTTTGAGGGGTGGGAGGAGAGGACTAGAGGCTGAAATGAATGTCCTTTGCCCGCCTGTGGTAGCTGAACCCTGGGATGGATGTCAGGGACTCCTGGACAGCTGGAGCAGTCCCCAAGGGGAAGCCACCTACCAGAGGGCCCTGATGACGGGGCACGTGCCCTGGAGCTGCTGGGATGCTGGCAGCAGCCAGCCCTCCTGCAGCGGGCACGCTGACAGCCAGAGACAGCTTGCACTGACCTTCCTGCAGCCCTGCTTCCTTAGAAAGTGATGCATTCCTAGTTTGGATTTGGTGGCCTGCTGTCCCCCATCATTCAGGAAGACTGTCGAGGCACAGAAATACCACGGACTTTGTGCCCAACAGACTAAGGTCCAAATTCCAATATTATCATTTATAAGCTCAAAGGTACATTTACTGGGAAGCTAAACAGCTTACCTGCAGGGCTCCTGGCTTATATGCAGCCTCCCAAGGCTCTGGACCTCACTTTGTATTCTAAAATGTATTCTTTCCCTTCGAGGAGCCATCCTAACTTTAAAGGTTTAGGATTCACAAAACTGGACCCACCCCTAAGAGGGGCCACAGTGACTAAAACGACCATGTTATTGTCTAGGGATTCAACAAGCCATGGCTGTGCACCCAGGAGGTACCTGGGTGCTGGTGCCTGGAACCCCCACTGGATGGCATCACCCCTGACCACAGGGACCTGGGTCATTTGGATTTCTCTCTAAAACCGAGGGTTCTTGGGAGGAAAACATGTTGCCAGTACATCTTAGCAACTGTTTGAAGCAAAGCATCTCAATATTTAGACAGTGCAGTTTTCTGATTGGTGCTGGGATCAAAATTTAAAAAAAAACAGTCTGCAAAGGGAGAAGAATAGAAATCAGCAGATTTATTGTTTCACAGGGTGTTCCTCTCAGATAAACACACTGAACAACATCTTCCCCACCGATGAGCACTGCGTTGCCTCTGGGCGCTCCAGCACACCGCTGTCCTGCATCTCTGCAGCAGCCCATGCCCACGCATCCTGGAGAGCTCTGCCCATAATTACGTGGCAGGTGTAATTACGCATCTGATGCCATGTGTGCACGTTCAAGGATGTCAGGTGTGAACAACAGGATGAAATTAGTTGTGTTCGCTGGGTCGGCTCGCTTTCTACACCGTTTTCATCTCCCCCAGTTATTTATTGCTGCCTAATGAATCACCCCAAAACCTAGTGGCTTAAGCAGTAACAATCATGCCTCACTGTACAAGTGTCGCATTATCAGCCCCCCAGGGCCGGTGGCTCCCTGGGCGCAGCTGGGCGGTTCTTGCTGGCGCGGTCCCAGGCAGCGGCTTGGGTCGGGGCTCTCTGGCCGCTTCCGCACTCACACAGCTGGTCGTGGTGCTCCTGTTGGCTGGCTGCTGTGTTCTAAGTATGAACGTCGGGACAGAAAACCTTTCATGATGGAGCGTCAGTGGTCACACAGAATTACTCCCACCACAGTCACAGACTCAGCCCGTTTCCAGGGAATGGAGCATATATCCCACCTCTGGAAGGGAGGCATGTCATTGTCACATTGTCAAAAAAGAGCACGTGGGCCGGGAAACTTTGTCGGGGCCCAGTGGAACAGGCAATCTGCAGCACATACCTTCCAGGTACAAACAGTCAATCATTCCATTTCCCTTCAGTTTGGCCTCTAAGGAGGCCCGCTGGGTGATTGTTTGTGAACCTGGGGGTCATCATTGTCCGTATTATGAACTTACAACTAAGGAGCATGCATTTCTTTGAATGATAATGATCTGTAATTCTGACTTTGCACCATCCAATTTATCTTCTTCCCACTATTTCCAGGGAGAGCAGTTTTGTCATATTTCGGGGCAGATTCATCCCCCACATACCCGCCCCACCCCAGGAGCTGCTGCTGCTTCAGAGGCTAGTAGATTTGTCCCACATAGGAAGGCTTTTCCGCCGTCACACAGGCTAGTGCTAGTCTGGACACCTGTCCCTGGAAACATGGGAAACGGACCACAACTGGGATTCAGTGGCAGCAGCACTGGGCCTTTGCCTATCTGAGAGTCAAATCAGCAGAGATGGGAAATGAAAGAAAAGCAGGAGGGCCGACGGCGAGCCCTGGGGCCCCGAGGCCGACCCTCTCCGGCGGCAGCAGGTGTGGACAAGAGTTGCAACACGAGCTCTCCTGGAAGCAGTCTCGGGACTCTCACGTTGATCCCACCACCAGGCCTCCGCTCCACGAGGGTCATGCTCCCCACACACACAGCCTTCTCCCTCCTCATGACCTTAGCTGGAGAGCGGATCTTTGCAGAGGTCATCACGTTCAAGCAAGCTCATTAAGGTGGACTGTAATTCTTTACGAGCAGTGTCCTCGTGAAAAGGAGAAAATGGGATGTAGGCCCACAGAGGGAAGACAAGATGAAGACACCATCGGCAAGCCCAGGAGAGAGGCCTGGCTTCCCTCACAGCCCTCAGAAGGAAGCCACTCCGACTCTGACATCTTAATTTCAGACTTGCGGCCTCCATACCGTGAGGCAATGACTTCTGTTGTCTCTGCCTCCTGGCGCGCGTTTCTTAGGACACTAATAGGCCTGTCCAGGCGACTTCCCAAACAGAGATAGCCCCACGGAGGTGCTGTGTGAAGGGCAAGTGTCCTGATTCATTCATGCCATGGGCAACTATCGAGCACTTACTGTGTGCCGTGGCCTACTGAGTGCCGGGGTCTGTGTGACCACTGTTCGCCAAGTTTTCATTTGCTGCCTTTATATGAGTCTCATTCTGGTCATCACCTTTTCAGTGGAATCTGTCTCCAACTCCCACAGTCCTCACAGCTCCTAGCTCACCACTAAGCACACAGTCGGTACTTCATAAATGCTGATAGGATGCATTTCGTATAGATTTGTAATAGCTGCAAATTATTTAATGTACGAGTTTGTACGTGGGCGTGCTGAATCTTATCTCGTCTTCAGCAACATCCAGAAAACACTAATCACAGTTTAGGTCCAAATAGCCTCCTATTTCTCAGCACGACAGGCCTACTTTGCTCTGGGCGGGTAGAGGATATTGGCCCAAAGTGATGTTATCTCCTTTGCTTTCCCAGACTTATCCCACCTTGCATGGGTGCTGATCGTGGCTTTGGAGGGGGTTTTGAAATGAGGTTACATTTTCTGGGGGTAGCCGACTGTAGATAGAAGGCACTTCATGCAATGCATCATTCAGAATTTTAGTTTTTATAACCCTGTAGGTCATTTAAAACTGGCCGAAGGAAGGGAGGAAGGAAGGAAGGAAAGAAGGAGAAGTGCACAACAAATTTGGGGCAAAAGCAGCCTCTGCAGTGTGTGGATGTTGAGTGATGCTGGGCAGAAGGATTTTCAGCAGGACAAGGAGAATGCCAAGCGCATAAATTAGAATGCCATCTTTTCCCTGCGAACACTGAATAATTATAGATGCCAGTGTCTCAGGGAGAATCTGCTGGGCATATGGCCCCTTTGTGCCTTCGTGCACTTTTCTTTGTTTCTCAGGGTCCAAAGAAACCAGCATGAATTAGCAGCTGGCCACAGCATCCTGACCCATGAGAAGTAAATAAGGACACAGTTTCAAGTTCAGTCCAAAAAGCATTTACTGAGTGCCTACCATGTACTAGGGCCGGTGGAAACACAGGAAGGGTCCTCCACATAAGAAGCATACAACCTTGCCTGACAGTCCATGATCATATTCCAGGCATTGGGCTCAGCTGGGGGCAGGGAGGAAGGGAGCACTGAGGAAGGGGGCACCAAGGTAAATACACCATGATTCCTGCCCCTAAGGAGATTATAGATTCACGGGGGAGAGAGATTCATAAAGAGGCAGGTATTTTCTCTTTCACTCACAAGCAATGTATAAAGGAGGCACAATTCCTACACCCACTTTACAGATGTGGCAACTGTGGCGTAGAGGTTCAGCTGCTCCCCTGTGGCAGAGGTTAGGAAGTGGAGGAGGAGGAGGGTGGACCTGTCTGTGCTCTGTGCACCAGGCTAAATGGGAATCTCTACAGAAGAGATAGAGGACATCTCAGGTAAGAGAAGAGGGGACTAGACGGGTAAGGAGCCAGCAGGAATGCTGGAGGACGAAGAAAATGTTTCTCTGGGGGTGCTGAGACCGTGTCCTTGGAACCCAGAGGAGAGGGGTGGACTTTGCGCTGAGCTGGCAAAGCGAGGAGGATTTCAGTAGGCAGGGAGGTCGGGGAAGCAGAGAGCAGACGGAGACAAGAGCAAAGGCAGGTGCAGGGGAAGCAGAGGCGGGGGCTGAGCTCACAGGGCCTCCCAGCACGCTGGGGAGTCAGATTGGTCTTGCTGGTTCCAGGACAGTCTCTAAGGAGGAATGTGACCTGATCCAGCCCATGTTTGAGGAAACAATGGTGTGCAGAATTGAAGGTAAGAAAGTTGGACATCTGGGGGCCATTTAAAATGCTACTGATGCTCCAGCTCCTTCTTACAGGGAGAAGATGACCCAACCAGGACACTGACCAAGGAGGCGGGGGCCAGGCCCCAGGGACCGGGAAGACAGCGGATGTCCCACCCAAGGCAGCCAGTGGTGGAAAGACCCAGAGGGAGGGCCTAAGGCGAGCTTCTCCGTGGCCACAAAAAGTTAGTCAGGGAACTCACATCTACTAGTCTAAGGATGAAAAGAGGAGCCCTGGCAGAGTCAAACGACAGACAGGGCTGGAAAACCTCCCTGGAAAAGATCCCCACATGGGCTGGAGGGTCTTTGCCCTGTGTTTACCGGCCCTCATCAGCAGCAGTGGGAGCCCCGTCACGAGTCCCGGAGAGAGAGGGTAGGGACTCAGACCGGGGAGGGGGATGAAAAGGATGGCAGTGACTCTCACATGGGGAGGGACTAAACAGAAAGACCAATTTCCTGGCAGGAGCATCCACAGAGATATGCACAGGAGCAAGTTAAGTTGCCACGACTCATAACGTGGTATAACATTAAATGAAAATCAGTTATAAAACCGCAGGTTTCAGGGAGGAGGGTATAGCTCAGTGGTAGAGCACATGCTTAGCATGCATGAGGTCCTGGGTTCAATCCCCAGTGCTTCCATTAAAAAAAATAATAATAATAATAATAAATAAATAAGCCTAATTACCTCCCCTCCAAAATAACTTAATATAAATAAAATAAGATTAAACATTTTTTAATCTTTTAAAAAAATTGTTCAAAAACTTTGTAAAAAAATATATGAACCCCGATGTTCATAGCAGCACTATATACAATACCCAAGACATGGAACCAACCTAAATGTCCATCGACAGGTGACTGAATGAAGAAGTTGTGGTATATTTATACAACAGAATACTACTCTGCCATAAAAAAAAGAATAAAATAATGCCATTTACAGCAACATGGATGGACCTAGAGACTGTCATTCTAAGTGAAGTAAGCTAGAAAGAGAAAGAAAAATACCATATAATATCAGTCATATGTGGAACCTAAAAAAAAGAAGAGGACACTATGACTTCATCTGCAAAACAGAAACAGACTTGCAGACTTAGTAAATAATCTTATGGTTACCAGGCAAAGGGCGTGGGAGGGGATAAATATGGGAATTTGAGATTTACAAATGTTAGCCACTATGTATAAAAATAAATTTTTAAAAAAATGTTTCTTTTGTATAGCACAGGGAACTATGTTCAATATCTTGTAATAACCTTTCATGGAAAAATATATGAAAATGAATATGTGTATGTATATGCATGACTGGGACATTGTGTTGTACACCAGAGATTGACACATTGTAATTGACGGTACTTCAATTGAAAAAGAATTCTTTTTAAACCTGCAGGTTTCATTGACCCTATTTGTGTCAATGAAAAATATAAACACATATGCATATGCATAGAAAAAATGGAAAGATACACCAGAAACTAATACATTGTAAATCAACTATACTTGAATGATATATATTATATATACGTATATGCAAGGATATAAAAAATGGAAAGATATACACAAAGCTGAACAATGTCTTTAGAAGATGAGATTATAATTTTTTAAAAACTTTTCTTTCTTTTATTTATCTGTGCCTGCTAAAATCTGTGCCATGAATATTTTACCTTTGGACTGAGTGAGATTTTGGAAAATAAAAAAAAAGGAGAAAAGACACACACCTGTCACCAGGCCTTCCCCACCCTGTCAAAGCTGAGTCAACTAACCATCTGTGAAACACAGTATTATCATGCTGGTCAGTGTCCGGTCAGGAGCAGAACAGCCCAAAAAGTAAGGAGAGTATGTCATTATCCAGGTCAATACAAGCAGCAATTTGTGATGGAGAAAAAAGCCCAGGTCAGCTTCATGTCCAGCCAGGGCCACTGTGAAAGCTGCCAACTAGCATCCGGCTTCCTCTGCCCACCCCACCCTGCCCCAACCCTTGCATACATCTACCCTCATCCATCAGCCAGCGCAGTCCTTCCACAGTCTAAGTCAGACTGCATTGCCAATGTTGATTTATGCCTCAGGGCCTTTGCACCAGCTGATCCTTAGGCTGCAATGCTCTTTCCCAAAGTTTTACATGGCTAACTCCTTTGTCAGGTCTCACTTCAAATGTTGCCTTCTCAGAGAAGCCTTCCTTGATCACTGTAGCTAAAGTAGCCACCACTGCCCCCTGACAGGCACTTAACTGAGTCTAATCTAGTTAGCACTGTCCATAGAGCTTTCTGGGATGATGAGAATGTCCTGTATCCATGCTGTCCAATGTGGTAGCCACTAGAAACATGTGGCTACTGCACCCTTAACATATGGCTGGTGTGGCTAAACAGTTAAATTTTTCATTTTATTTCATTCTAATTAATTTAAAAATAAATGCCCATGTGCCTAGTGACCACTGTACTGGACAGCATGGGCTAACCCATTCCTCACTTTGTTTCGGGTTTGGTTTCTTCATAGCCTGTCAGTATCTGAGATGGTCTCACTCATCTGTTTGCCTGCAAATGTGTTGTGTATCTTCCCCCATTAGGGTACAGGCTCTGCAATGGAAGGGCTTGTTTTCTTATCTGCTGTAAACTCAGCTCCAGAGACACAGATGAAGAGTGTAATAAATGATGAACAAATATTAGCAGGAAAGGTGGACTTGGAAGGTTATTATATTTCCTTTGATAGTTTGGTTAGATCTTGTATCATGTAGCTTTGCCAAATGGGCTGTGTAACAAAAACATCCCAAAACTCAAAGACTTAAACAAACATCTTTTCATCTCAGATCTGTGGGTCACCTGAGGGTTACAGGATAGTCAGCGGATCCAGGCTGGGCTTGGTGGAGATCACTCCCACACCTGTAGCTGCCTAGGGGTGGCTAATGCAGCTGGAGTTGGTAGGGTAGGCCTTGCTTCAAGGACCATGTGCCACCAAGAGAAGCTGGTCTGGGCATATTTACCCCAAGGCAAAGGCAGAAGCACTCCAGCCCACTGAAGCTTAGGCTTGGAACTGAAACACCTTCACTCTGTCTCATCCTTCTGGCCATCACAAATCCTTGGCAGAATCCAAGGTTACAAGGCTAGAAGCATGCTCCACCCACAGAGGGAGGGCCCTGCAAAAATCACATGATAAAAAGTGTGAGGAGGGAAGAACTGAGGCCATTAATGCAATCTACCTGTATTACTACTGCGGCAGTTTGGGCTGCTACAATGGAACACCAAATATTGGGTGGTTTAAGCTACAAACTTATTTCTCACTGTTCTAGAAGCTGGGCAGTCCATGATCAAGGTACCAGCAGATCTGGTGTCTGGTGAGAGACCGCTTCCTGATCGACTGAGTGGTCACATGGCAGAGACAGGAAGAGACACAGAGAGAGACGCCACAAGCTTTCCTGTGCCACTAATTAGAGCACTAATCCCAGCCTGAGGTCCCCACCCTCCTGCCCTAATCACCGCTCAGTGGTTCCATCTCCAGACACCGTAAGTTGGGGATTAGAGTTTCAACATATGAATTTGAGGAGGATACAAACATTCAGTTCACAGGGCTACCGTGAGACCTTTTGGCTGACAGGACACACTCAGACTAGCCCAAAGCACAGTACACTGTAAGGCTACCCAGAGGTCAGAACCACCGGGAAAGCCAAGGGCAGGAGCTCTGATGGGGCCTGGCCTCTGGGAACTGGGGGCTGGAGGACAGCGGAAGCTCTGAGTCATCTCTGACCTCTGCAGTGCTGTTTCCAATGTGTCTGGGGTTTTCCAGTACCCCTGCCCCTGGCTTCCTTGATCTCTGATCTCTGTATCTTTCCTCTCACTTCCGTCCCTCACAAGTTCAGCTTGACTGCGACCAATATGG